GAGGGCTGGAGGGTGAGCAGGGCGAAGATGGAGGCGGTGCCCTGGCTGTAGCCCACGTAGCCGACGGTTCGGTGACCAGAGGTGGCCTTGAGGACGTACTCGACGATGGCCGGAGCGTCGTACTGCGCCATCTGGTCGAAGCTGAAGCGCCAGTAGGCGTGGTCGTTGTCTGAAAAAAAGGGAATAAGTTGTTTGCTTCAATACTAGATTTTAATCTGTGTATGTGTACCTGAGTACTTGATGTGCCCTCGTGAGTATCGGTTGCCCCTAAAATAGGCAGAAAAAATTTGGAAAAGATTTCTGGTTAATCAAAAGGAAAATCAGAAAAGACTTACCTCGAGTTGGTCAGCCACACGTCGTAGCGGTCGGTGAGGTGAAGGGCAAAGCCGAGGTTGTCGCCCGTTTTGTGCAGGGAGAATTTGCTAAAGTTTCCAGCGTCGTCTGCGTAGAGAAAGGGCGAGCTGACGAGAAAATCCGCCGAAGAGCCAAAGAGTCCGTGCTGAACAATGACGGGCTTCTTCGCTGATTGCTTCTTCTCAGTTTCGGTTTGGTAGAACCATCGCTTTTTTTGGCCGGAAACGCCGGCAATCTCCACCTCCTCTTTGACGTCCACCAGTCGGTGCAGTGTGAGGATGTACCCGTCGGCGGTGGTCACGTTGTGAAGCTAGTAAAGGTGATTGGGAGAAAACTCTGATTATCTTTTCAAAAATTAAAAACCCCAAACTCACCTCCAAATTGAAGCCATGCGATCGGACAATCTCCTCAATCGTTCGACCTTCATCGGGATCAGCGGCGAGGACGACCACCTGCTGGGAAAAGTTCTGAAGCAGAAGAAGAAGACTGCAGACGAGGAAGAAGAGTCGCCGAAACATCTTCTTGCGGTGTTGTGACTGACTTGAAGTTTGTGATGTTCACAAATCCAAATCTTTGAGTGCGCGTTTACCTTTTACTACCACTGACAGTTTCACTGACAGTGCCAAATCGAATGACGAGCACAGAGAGAACACTGAAAATAAATAGAAACTAAAAGCGTTTTATCAAGCGCGTAATCAGCTGAGCGACAGTTGGCGGTGGTTGTTTCGGCGACGAGCTCTCCTTGGCTCTTGGGGAATGCACTTACCAGTTTCTACTTCTTTTGCAGCACTAAAGTGAGCGTGTGATTTTGTGGGTGAAATCGATATTGATGGGGGACGGTGTTCAGTTGTGATGATGATCAGCGAGAATGAAGAGGTTTGCTGACTATAAAAAAATTGTATTTGTTTGTCAGTCAGGGTAACACTCACAGCTGTGGACGGCGGCGGCGGCGGTTCAAGAGCACACTAATGCAGTGAAACTTTCCCTTTCACTCTCTTTGCTTCGGTGTGTGTGTGGCCAATTGACAGGTCACAGACAGCACAACAAACAGAGGTCACAGAGTAGGGCACGAAAAATCACTGACACTCAGNGTTCAGTTGTGATGATGATCAGCGAGAATGAAGAGGTTTGCTGACTATAAAAAAATTGTATTTGTTTGTCAGTCAGGGTAACACTCACAGCTGTGGACGGCGGCGGCGGCGGTTCAAGAGCACACTAATGCAGTGAAACTTTCCCTTTCACTCTCTTTGCTTCGGTGTGTGTGTGGCCAATTGACAGGTCACAGACAGCACAACAAACAGAGGTCACAGAGTAGGGCACGAAAAATCACTGACACTCAGAGAGGCCCAAACACAAAAAAACTTTTTTCCGTTTCTTTAGGTTCGGTCGTTTCAGTTTTGTTTACACAGATCAATCGGTCGTACCTGGCAACGCTGTCAGGCGCATTTCATTCGACCGCTGTTCCCTCCTCTCCTACTCTCTTGCTGGTTTCTGCTGATAAGTAAGTCCTTTTCTTTCTTGACTGCAAGTCCTATCTGCTGATAGGACAGAGAGCACACAAACAGGATAATTTGATTTGGCAACAAACAGACAGACAGTGGATGACATTGGATGAATCAACCCGGAGGAGGAAAAGACTGCATGGCTTGTTTGAAGAAGGGAGAAGACTGCTGGGCAAATATCATCGATGAAGTGCAATAGCTGGGCAGTGTCTGTTCTGTTGAGTTGTTGAGATTGTTGAGTAATCGAGTAATGCGAAGGGTAGAGTACAAAAGACAAATGCGTCTGTGATCTTACTTTTGCTTTTGCTTTCAGACTTTTTTTGTGTCAATTGTAGAATGTTAGAAACGACCAAAGTAATGACAAACCAAAGAGTTCTGTATAGTACACTAGTACCGGGACAAGTGGTGAGATTGCTCACTCGCCAAGGCGAGGAGTACATTGCTAAGCAAAAGTGCTCCAAAGTTCAAAAGGAAGTGCAACTAGTAGGCATTTACATAAGCGAGTCTGCGAGTCCAATGATGGTGACGGCGATTTGAGGCAAGCAAAGGGTCCTTCTTCCAGTGAAGGACCCGAATTAGAAACAACAGTGTATAAAATAGAAAAACTACCGAGCTAAATGAACTTTTTACATTGCGCACTGAATGGAGGAGGCTGGAAAGCACTGTTTTCCTCCAGTTCTTGAGACTACCCTGAGGCACCGCCTTCAGGGTTCATTCCGGAGATGACCATGAAGATGACCACGGGCACGATGTACATCCACTGAAAAAAGGAGAAATTCTCTTAGCTGACTGAAAACAAACAAAGTCAGGCAATTTCTTACGTATTTGGCGAGGAAGGATCGGTTGTCCTGCTTGGCGCCGCGAAGCTTCTCCTGGCGTTCCTGCTCAATGCGCTGTAGGTACGTCTTTGTCTCTGGTCTGCAAAATAGAGTTAGAAATCTAGCTCATCATCATCATCATCACCACAAGAAGCTCACCCTGCATTGACGGACGTCTTCATCAGAAAGATGCTCGTGTTGAAGTGGTTGCTGTTGTCGCCGATGGCGTTGATCATCGAGGAGGCGGTGAGGGGCGAGGACTCGGCGCAGTACTGCCCGGGCACGTTCGCCGAGAGAAAGACGAACTTCCCGTTCACGTCGAGGTTGATCACCAGCTGGTCGGAGAGGAGGGACTCGAGGAGGGCGCAGGACCGGAGGAAGGTAGTGGACACCTGGTACGGCTCCTCATTGTCCATGTCCAGCGTGCGGTAGGCCTGCGCTTTGAGGTAGTAGAAGTCGCCGGAGATGGCTGATTCCTGATTTATCATGTTCGAAAAGTAAACGTAAGTTTAGGCAGCTCAATCCCTTCAAGTACCCTCAGTTTACTACCTTCAGGTACTCCAGAAGCTCCTGGCTGATCGAGTCCTGCTTGATGATGGGCACCTGGTTGTTGATGGTGATCAGCGCCCGGTTCTGGTACTGTTGAGCTGGTGTACAGGTTGAAAACAAATGATCAGCATTGGTCGGCATCAACAAATCAACCGGTACAACTTACAGGAGTTGAAGGCGTGATACAGCCTCACGAGAATTAGATTCGAGTCTTCATTGAGTGTGGCCGCGTTGTTTAGTGGCGTCCCAAAGTTGATCGTTCCATCGTCGGCCGTCTTCAATTGAAAAAGAAAAAGGTTTTCATAAAAACGATGCACCAGAATTACCAACAACACAACACAAACAAACCGAAAGCGAGATCAAGCAAAGGAGACTAGAGGCGGCCAAGAGGAACGAAGACGCCGGTCTAGCCAAAGAGGAAGTTGGAAGGTGCATTTTGCTTCGAGGAGGGGGTTTGGAACCAGAGATACAAGAAGATACCAGAAAAGCCAAAGATACCGGAATCCAAAAGGAAAGTATCACCGAAGGAGCCAGAAGTACAAGTCAGCTGACTCATGAAAAGGAAAACTAAAATCAATAGTGAAACCGGTGGCGCTCTCTGTTGAGCTTCGCAGCAGACGCATCTTTGCTGATGATCATCAAGCTGGTGAAGACTTCATTTGAAAACTCTTTTTTTCGCAACTTGATGGCGAATCCAAACAATCAACAACTCAATCAATCAATCAATCAGCCGAATCGATCATCATTAACTTGAAGAACAATAGAACATGAGCTAATCTTTTCCACTCCTCTTCAAACTTTCGTTTCTCTCTCTCTGCACTTATCTTTGCTTTCCATCTTTGCTATTGAACACATATTGAAAAGAAAGAGCGAAATGGTCAATGTCATCTGCAGCTCATTTGCAGCTCTACTTTTCTTTTCGACTTCTCCAAATCTCCGAATGGTGCCACTCTGAAGAGAAAGTATCTTTCGAAACGTTCGTTCGCTCCCACTGATCTCTCTCTCTCTTCTTTTCGAAGCTGTTCACCTTCTACCTGCGAACTTCGCTGCAGCAGCAGTTGTGCAATGTGCCGTTGTTTTTGCCATCAGCATCAGCAGCAGCAGAACTATCAGTGGTCGCCGTTCGTTCATGCTTGAAGAAAACAGGTTGGCGAAGAAGGCGCTTTCTCTTTTTCTCCCTTTTCCTTCATCTCACCGTGTTTTTCGTACACAAATGTACTGCTGCTGCTGCTGATCATCAATGTATCTGCTGCTGTCTGCCTTTCTCGGCGGTTGGTGGAGGCCAGACAGGAAAACTCATGCTTCATTTGCTGCTGTCGTCGTTTAGCGTGGTCTGAGGTGTCCTGTGTGTGTGTGTGTTTTCCTTTTACTGGGGAAAATTTGCTGCACCTAAAGTTTACTCTAAACTGTTGCCGTTGTTTTGCCATTTCTTCTTCACCACCACAACGTCGCCAACTTCAGAGAGGTAACATCAAGGTGATATCACCACCGTCACCACCATGACAGTCCTCTCGAAAATCTTCAGCGAACAGCTGGACACTAGTCACCACCTGACTCAGAAGCGAACCCTCTTTCTGGGCTCTTCGGCCCTCTCGCTGGCCACCTGGACCACCAGTCTGGTGCTGAGCTACAGTCAAGCGCAGAGGTGAGTGAGAGTTCAATTTTGCATTCACGATCTAACGGTAAAAGTAACGGTTTTTTCTCTTCTTCAGGGACAACAACAAACCTGATGAAGTCACTTCGGCGTACCTGCAGAAGGTACTACTAAACTCTTTTTTCAAACTAAATCTTCAAAAACTAAAACTTTAAACTTCCTCATTTAGAACTCCAAACTGCGGTCCACCAAGCAGAAGCAGACGCTGCGGCGGACGATAGGACAGCTGTCGAAGATTCTGAAGCAGGTGCTCTCCACCAAGGACTACTGCTACGCCGGGGGCATCGCCATTGCCCTGCTCCTTCGCACCATGTGCGACCTGTGGATGATCCA